ATTTTTATCTTGTTATGTTTAGTCGTTAACAAGGATGAAAATGCTGATATCATTTGGAAAATAATGAATTACTGATTTGTACCTGGGTTCTTTGACAGACAATATTATTATATTAATTTGACTAATGAAATAAAAAAAAATAGCCCTTTATTCTGACCCAACTTATAATTGTTACATAATTTAAAATTCCTTAAAATTTACTTTACTTAGATGTATAAAATACCTATTAATGATTATCTGGAAATCTGTTTGCCGGTCGGCAAAGGCCTCGTCCAACCTTTTCCATTCATGTCGTTCTTGAGCTACTCTGATGCCTTGTTACCCCTGAAACTTGCCTAAAGTCATCATCCCATCCTGCTTGAATGTCCGTATATAAGATACAATACAAAATACATGCGTCTGGAGTGCATCCACGCTAAAACACACGATGGGTTAAGAGTTCTTTTTTTAAGGGGGAAAATCATCGAATGACGTCTCCCTCCTGGGTAAGGCGGGAGGGAGTGTCTGACTCTTACTGACTAAAACCACTCCGTTCCTACTCCTGCGCTTCGAGCCGGAGCCTCGGTAACCCGTTAGGTTCTCCGCGACAGGTTAAGAGGTACCCCTCTACCCCTTTTTCTGGTTCATTCTCTGGGGGGTACCCCAGATGGCAATCTGGTCACGATTTTGCTCCACTTCTCTTGCCCTCTGATCATATTAAAAAATTCAGCCACATACAAAATATGTCAAAATTCTATCTCTAATAGCATGCTAAACTTCCGACAGATACGGAACTATGACATAACAATACATTGGTGTATTTTTTGTAATCATAACAATTGAAACCACTCCTTATACATACCTGTAAGTATATAAAGACCTAATCTTTGATTACAGTCTTATCTAACGATACTTAATGGTTAACTTTTCTTCGAATTGATCTGGTCAAAATATGTTTTGTGAAAAAATAAGCCATTTAAGAAATCGCTTATGACACAATAAGTGATTCGTATTTTTGTTTTATGGAATAAGCCGGTAAACGAGCAGACGGAGCACCTGAATTGGTATACAATCGGCGCTGCCCATTAACACCCGATACACCAGAGGTGTATTAAACGTATTTTATCTTAACTGTCGTATCGTCTGAAGCTGGATAAATAACATGTACTATTATAACTTTCGCGATACACTGCTAATTTAATTATAATGGTTTTTGGCTATACTTAATTATTTGACGAGGAACTCGACTGGTTTCAAGTCATAATAGAATCTCATATTCATGAACAGCATTCCGCGTCACACGACGCGAATTATTAACTATAGGATTGATAGGAAATCAAGCAAGTATTTTATAATTAATCGCGATAATTTACTACAACAATCAAATTAAAATGGTTGACGGTCTGAGAAGAGACAAAGAAAAAAAACGTAAGGGGCGACACCACCCGACCAAGTTAAGAACTAATTGGGTTGCGGTCCATTATTCCTAACATTAACTAATTGTTAATCATCGTGTTGTCTTAAAAAAAGTTTAAAATCGATAATACCTAATAATCAAACTATAAACTAGAACGCTTTCTAAAACACAGGGGCCTTGTTATGCTTTCAAAAAAATTTGGTCCTTTCGACCGCACATAAAAAAATCACAATCACAACCCTTTACAAAACTCAACTACGCATTACAAATACGTAACAAATCAATTTAATCTATACATAGAGGTCTGAGAGGCGACAATTATCTGTTATTCATTGTAATAATATCTTGCATTGTTGGGGGCGCGTTATCGGGGGTCGCCAGGACCATAAAAATGAGCTTATGCCTCCAGTCTAACTCGACACGGAGGTATAGAGCTGTTGTTGCGAATCCGGACTTAATTGTCCGCTGAATGTTTATTTTTGAAGGGTTAATTTTGAGTTTAGTTTTTTCATTGTTGGTTAAAAGGTTATTTTTAGTTTTCAATGTGTTGTTGGTAATACCTATGCCTAATTAATTTTTGTTTATATACAAGACATTGATTACGTTTTACTCCGTCTTTCACAAAAGGTAGTGACATATATTATTTTTCATATATATATTACATTACACTACATTATTAGCGCAGCAAAAAAAAACATAACATTTTGAAATTGATGTTAAAATTTTTTATTATAAAATATTTTGTGAATGAAATATCATGTTCAACAGAGATAACTACAAAGTATGGATATTTAAATAAAATCTGTGATACCGTACCACGTTATCTCATATTTACTTAAGAAAAAGATACATTTTATGTATTTATCGACTGCCTTGATGATTGAGTGGTTGCAGGCGTCGGTCAATGCATTTTTGGAGTTCAATAATTGAATGATTACTATGAATAATAGAAAATTTATTACCTAATGTTATATTCGTTACGTATAAAAATAAGCTGCTAGCAAACGTGTCCTTGTTATAAACAACCAACTACTTATTCCATTATATTTGCAGACATGTAAACAACATAACATATCCCCGACGGTATAGGCAGAGGTGTACATTATGCCACTGTACAATGTAACACCCACATTTGACTATTTATGTTATGAGTCCCATGTAATAGGGAGTGAGCCTATTGCCATACATATACCGGACACAATTCCAGACTCCGCGCTACTACTGAGAATTGTAAATAACATTGTGGAGTTAATACTATAAGTAATTCAACCAGAAAAATGTTTTAAATTTGGTTGGTAAAATCAGCTCTGATTTTGTTATTTCAGTGAAATTAATACATCTGTAAGGAGTAAATATATTTCAAATACTTGTCTTGAACAAATAAAAGCATTTTACAAATTGTCGCTTTTTTACTAACATCACAAGCATATTAAAGCCACTCAATAAATCTTTAGGCGTATTAACATTTCTATATGATGTGGAACAGTGGGAATTAATTTGTAAGGGGTTGAATTTATTAGCGGGGCGTAAGGCACGGCGCACGCTACGCGTTAAGATTCATTTGTTACTTATATCTTACTTAAACGCTTATTGTGTGACGAGCTTTAATACTTGGTGCGCAGTCAGTGTGAAATATTATAATGTTAATCAAAGAGTTAATTT